TCCTACGACACTGTGTGTGTTCTTATACTACCTATGCCCTTCCCTCCTCGCTCAGCCTGGGACACCCCAGGAACTAAGAAAAGGAAACCTCCCCACTGGACACTGAAAGTGGTCATCAAATGCTTTGCACAATGTACTTACTGCGGCTGGCTATGTCTGCTCAAGTGACCCGACTTCAGGAAGGGGTGGGCAGAGCCACACCCCACCAGAATCCACCCGCTTACTGGAAGCTAGCCCCACGCTTCCTGCTTACCCACAGGAAATCGGGAGACTTGAGAGCTAGAGGAAAGGATTACCTTTCAAGGACTCCTGCTCTTCCAAAGAACATGGGAGGAATCCGATGATTCCAGGCAGAGAGGGAGAAACAGCCAATTAAGTCCTACAAATGCACAGAACAGCAAACAACCTTGCAGCCCCCTCCACCCTAGGCGGCCTCCAAATACGGAGGAAACCTCAGGTGGATCTGATCATCTAGAGGATGAGAAGCCTCTTCCCACAGGTGCAATCACTATCCTGCACTAATTTCCCTGCCCCTGGCAACACCCCCCCCCTTGTAAGTTTCTAACACGAATTTTTTCTACTGTTTCTCTCTTGGTTTCTTGCTTTCTACCGTCCATGCCGCAGGGGAGGGGATCCCATCACCCATCACTGCTGTACCCCAAGCAGGGCGAACAGGTAAGTAAGTTTGCCCCCGAGGGCTCTATTCCAGGGTTCGCGGCACCTTCTCAAAAGACAGCCCACCCGGAGGTCTGTGATACAGCACCCAACCCTCCTCAATTTTCAGGCTCCGTGAGAGGCTTAGGGCATTCCAGGAATCGCTGCTCCAGAGGAGGACGGCAAAGTTCTCCATGTCAGCTCGGTTCGCGCTGGGGGTCCCTGGCGAGATGTGGCTTTGCAGTAGGAAACATTTAAGGAGCACGGGGAGGTTCTTCCTAAAGTTAAGCTGAATTATCCTACGGCTCAGGATTCCACTCGCAGGGAGATACTCAGGAAAACTGAAAACAGGGCTGCCTTTACATGAAATATGCAAAACAGGTAAATCCAGAGAAACGAAGGCACAGGATGGGGGGAGGCAGGGGGGCCCAGCAGACGCAGGGAGAGGAGGCGAAGGGGCGTGGCTGCTTCATGGGCGTGCACTTTGTGTAGGGGGCGGGGCGATGAAAATGTCCGGAGTCGGGTCGAGGCGAGCTTTGCACAACACTGTGCACTTTTTTTTTTTTTAAGATTTTATTTATTTATTTGACTTACAGAGATCACAAGTAGGCAGAGAGGCAGGCAGAGAGAGAGGTGGAAGCAGGCTCTCCGCCGAGCAGAGAGCCCGACGCGGGGCTCGATCGTGACCCGAGAAGGCAGAGGCTTTAACCCACTGAGCCACCCAGGCGCCCCCACTGTGCACTTTCTAAACCACAGGCAACACTTGAATGACAGGTGAATTTTAGCTTAAAAAACAGAAGCCCCCAGACCTGTTGGCAGGGCCGTGCTGGGCCCACTGCTCAGTCTTCTCTGGCAGGGCTGTGTTTGGCACCCCAGCTGTAGGAGGCCCTGGGTACAGCAGGAGTCAATGACAACCCAAAGACCAGAGGGGGCAGGTTGGAGGCTCCCAGATGTCCCCGAGCCCTCATTTTGCACTGTGATGCCTCCCCCAACACACATGCACGACTATACACACAGGTTCACAAACACCACTGCTCAGTGAGGACCCCGACCGGCTGCACACACCGGGAGGCGGCGGCTGCCTATTTGGGAAACCGCCCACGACCACTTAGGAGAGGAGGCAGCTCAGAGAGCTTGAGACCCGCTCCAATGTGTGACACATCAGCACCAGGCAATCCTACTCAGCACCCAAAACAAATGAGCTCTGGGGCCCCGAGGACACGGGGAGGAACCTTAAGACGCCAAAAGGCAAGGGAAAGGCGCCAAACTGAAAAGGCTGCATCCTGGAAGATTCCAACTCGGGAACATTCTGTAAAAGGCCGAACTGTGGAGACAGTAAAAGGATTAGTGGTTGCCAGGAGTTCCGGGGGAGGGAGGGATGAGCAGATAGCACAGAGGATTTTCAGGGTGGTGAAAATAACCCGCAGGTTACTTGAATGGGAGACAGGGACATCACACATCTGTCCAAATTCACAGAAGGTGCGCCACCAGGAGTCAATGAGCCCTGATGGGAGACTGTGGACTTTGGGTGTTGATGGGACCATGCACGTCCATCAGTCCTAACAAATATCTCCTCTAGAATGGGGAGGCTGTGCGTGCGTGGATAAGGAACAGGGGATGCCTGGGAAATCTCCGTACTTTATGCTCAGATCTGCTGTGAACCTGACACTGATCTCAAACGGCTTATTTAAAAGGGAAATAAAGGTACTTAAATGCGTGAACGTTTACCTAATTCTGCGGAGATCAGTCACAAAACAGTTAAATGCACTAGCCGGTATACTTGGCTGTGAACTGGGGTTTTCTGTGTTGTGTGTGTGTGTGTGCGCGCGCGCGTGTGTTTTAATCTAAGCCTCAGAATCTTGTTTCTTTAAAATTCTTAGACTGGAGGGGGAGGGGAAAGAAAAGAAAAACCCTCCTGGTTTCTCTCTTTCATCGCCTTGCTGGATCTACTTACAATTTCTCATGCGCCTATGAAAAACAGACGGCTCATTGTAAACATTCGAGTCGTAAACGCTGGAGATAACTTTAATAGGATCCAAAATGCAAATCAGAATTTTGGAAGTAAAATCCCAACGTCTACATTTACTCCTAATAGAGATCTTGGAGCCCTGAAAGTCAGCGAAGGATTTTAACATCCTGAACGCAGAGGCTGTCGCTGGGGAGAAAAGCGGGGCCAAGCTGTGTGAACGTAAGACACCACGTTTATGAATAGCTCAGTGCCCAACAGAAACGGTCTCACTAGCAACTGGGAAGCCAGCTGCCCCAGAGAAAACATTTCCATGGGCTGCGCTGTGGTCAGCCAGGAACCAGTCATGTGCGACCAGCGAGCTTCAACAGAAGCTGTAACTAACTGAATGCTTTTTGTTAACAAGATGCAGACCCCACACTTCTGTAGAAGCCTACCTCTCCCGGACTGGACTTTACCGGAGTTAAGGACAGACAGCCATCGGGGGTGGGGGGGCTTGAAATCGGGGCAGATCTACTTTGAGGTCTGAGCAGATACGAGTCTCTTTCATCAGCTGAATGCAAATTCTGTGTTAACAAACTCAAGCCCAGCATCCCCCTGCACCCAGGCCAAACAAAAGAACCTTTTAGTTTGTAACCGTCCACGAGTGAGCCCGCACTCGGCACAATACGAGGGAAGGACCGACGGAGGCGTCCTCCTCCAAGTGTCTGACATTATTTTTAGTCCCACAGAGTATATGTTTTATGGTCCTTGAAACAGGCTCCGCATACGTAATTACTAACAGCTTGAGACCATTTCTATACCCCCATCGGAGCAAAATGGCTAAATATGCGTAGCCCTCATCTTGTCAAATGAAAGGAAAACGCACCATCAAGATCGGGCAAGCGGCAATTTTTCTGGGGCTGTAGAAGTGGACAGTTTAAACAACAATGCTGGCCACACCAAGAGGACATCATTGTTCTGTGCCTTCCGAAATGAAGTTTGTATCACCAGGTAGGAGAGGGGTGGATGACAACGGCCCCCTTCTCCCATCTCACCACTGCCCGGATCAATTAACAAAGCATGTTTTGTTTGGAGAATGAATGAGAAGGCTTTCTTCTGTGCATTTTATGAAACTTGAAAGGTAGGGCTTGCTGCCATGGAAAATGCCTAGTGAGTTCCAACAGCCTAGTGTCCGAATCGGACTCCCTAGCAATCTACCCAACGCAACATCGGTCATCTTGACGTGGAGGGATACTCAGCCAGTCTGACGTTCTTATCATGAAGGGTTTCCTACCATTATGGAACAAATAAAGGCTCTTTGTAGCAGCGGCTCGAAACGCAACACAAGACCTTTCTTCACGCTGTTAAGAATTGATAAATAGTTCACCGAGTGAACCGAAGACTTTATTTTTTTCAAAAGCAGATAACACCAAAGTACTACGTAGTATCCGTACTCATTGCAAAAATAATTACTGGAACTTTCCAAACATCGAAGGGATAAGCGGGATCACGGATTACCACTATGATTTTTGGCCAATATACAGATTTTCGTTCCACGTCTAGGCTTGATTTCTACATAATATTATTCACGTGCATTCCCTGTGTCTGTTTATTATCAATACGGGGACTCTGGACAAAGTGAAGCCCAGCTTTATCTTGCTTTCGAAGATGACACAGCAACTAACCGAGAACGCTGGCTTGCTGAGTCCTAGAAATCCTGTCTCCTGATGTCCTACCACAAAATGTATTTCTGAAAAATAAAATCAGAATTTAGATTCCTCTGAAACAGGTCCCCAAGCTCTCCAGCACCGTGGTACCCAGATGTGCTCGCCCTGTGTGTCCCTCTGTCTCTCTCAAGACTCCCCTGGAAACCCCCAAGGGCCCCCCCCCGAAGAGTCCCATTAGAGAGGTTTTGAAGAACCGCACCAAACCCAAGTAGAGGCAGTGGAGAAAATTATCCATTGCCTTTTCTGTTAAGGACCAAAAAACAAAACAAAACAAAACAACAACAAAGAACACACCGACCAATAGGAAAGTGGTGGCAATCATATGGTCAAGAAAAATGGATCTATAAATCTTTCCTTTCAAAATTATGTCCAAAGGTGTTTAAGACCAAAAGGAGGTCACAGACAGGGTTAAGACAAACAATTCCTCTAGAAGGAAAAAGCCCTTCCCCAGAAGGGGCAGAGGATGGTGCAGAGGACGGAGGGAAGGCGCATCCCAGGTAGGATCCAGCCCTGTATCTCCAGCACACGTCGCACGTGGGAATCTGGGGGGGGGGGGGGGGGGGGGGGACAGCTCCTCCTGGTACTTAAAAAGGAATGAAGAATAAAGTGAATTTGTGTACTACTGAAAAGCCCGCAGTGGGAGACTCTGAGAGCCAAGCCCTTCGCTGATAAGGCAGAGATCATGGGCCATGGGAACAGGTGAGCGGGACGCAGGCACTGAAGGTGGGGTCAGCCGCATTTGGGCCAGAACAGTCTCGAAAAGTAAGGCAACCTGTGGCTTCCTGGCTTGAGACCACCCCCCTGGAAAGGCCCACGGAGGCAAGAAGTGAAGCCGGCCAGTGGCCAATCACTGGAAGATCCCGATGGGGCAACGGTCCCAGTTGCACGGGGTGGCCTGGCGTCACCGGAGGCGGGAACCAGCACTCAGGGTGAATGTCTTTGCAGGTCCTGTGCATGACTCCGAGCAGCGACCTCTGGGGTTTCGGAGGTGTGTTACTTTTGCGATATTTTTCCCCCAAAAGAAGACACGAAGGTGAAGACCCTGGAGAGAGGAGGCTAGCGAGGCGGGACACCACTCCCACCAGGGCAGGACGGGGTGAGAGTCGGAGAGCACTTCCGGCAGCGTACAGCTCCCTCCGGGTCTGGCCGAGTCCTACAAACGCTTGTAGGTGCCCAGGAGAGCTTTGCAGTTGGGACAGTAGTGGTCCACGTCCTGCAGGGCATCCACACAGAAGGGGATGAAGCAGCAGCCCGCTATGCACCTAGGGGACAAACACAGCCAGACACGAGCATGTCACCCTAGGTCACAGTGCCATGCGGCCGCCCCAGCCCCGCAGAAACACTTGCTCTGACCGTACTTGGAACCAGGGTCTCTGCAGATCTCCAGTTGGGATCATCCTGGAAGAGCCAGGTGGCTCCCTCCACTCAATGACAGATGTCCTTACAGGAAGAGGAGGGGACACACAGAACAACAGGGAGGGATATAGGCAGAGACTGATGTCTGGCAGCCATGAGCCAAGGACCTCCCGGGGCCACCGAAAGCTGGAAGGGGCAAGGAAGGATTCTCTGCCCTCCAGAGTCATCAGAGGGCGGCACCTTGACTGTGAACTTCTGGCTTCCAACACTGTGAGAATAGATCTGTATGGTTTTACTGTGTGGTTATCTGTCACCGGCGCCCTAGGCAACGAGCACGCGAACCAATGCCCAGCCTGTTCTCTCAGACCCGCCGACCTGGTGGTATTTTCTACTCTTGGATCAGCTCAGCGTCTCTGGGTCTTAGATTGGGGCCAGTGACTTTCTTGTCTCAAGGGCCAGATAGTACATATTTTAGGCTACACCTTGCTACATCTGGAAACAGAAGGTGTGGTCTGTTCCCCACGAACTAAAATGGGCTGGATTTGGGTCCAGGGCTGCAGCTGGCTTCCCCCCGCTGTGTAGACCGATAACTCGTCCAAATGGAGAGGGCCCTTCTTACAGTAATCACCAAACAAAATTCCCCAAATAACATCTCTCAATCTACTAACCCATTACCCGTGCCCCTAGGCAGGAGTCCCAGACAGCCTGTGGTACAGTAAGGAAGAGGTCTGGTCTTTGTCCCCACTTCCTGGCAATTAGCTCCAAGAGTCTGGGAATTTCCCGAGGGACAGGAGTGAGGGCCTTCTGCTATTCAGAACAAGCCCCTTTCTGTCCCACCTGATTCTATGCTGATAAGGAGACCCCACCCCAGGCTCCCCGCCTGAGGATAGGGTGGGTCACCACAAAGACCCTGGGTTCGTGGTGGTTCCAAGGTTAGAACCTTCAGCCCCAAGCCGCAGACCTCTGGGAGGCAACGGGCTTAGATCAGGTTATAAAACCCCTAAACTTCTATTTGGAGAGCTCCGGGATTGGTAAGCGTAGCCTTGTTCCAGGAGAGCCGTTAACACCCCAGGTCCACGGGGACAGAAGCTTTGGCACCGGGGACCCCTTGGACCGTGTCCTCTGTCCCTCTTCGTCTGGCTGTTGCTCATGTGTATCCTTCATAATAATCTGGTAAACGGAAATATAGAAGTGCCTTCCTGAGTTCTGTGCTGCTCTAGCAAATTAGACTGGGAGAAGGGATCGTAGGACCCTCAGTCTATAGCAGACCTCTGTGCAGCCTGAGGCCTGTGACCCGCATCTCTTCTGGGGGCAGTCTAGGGGACTGGGTCCTTCAGCTGTGGGTTCCGTGCTGACTCCAAGCAGTTAGCGTCAGAATTGAATTAAATCTCCGACACCCAGCTTGTATTGGAGAGGGGCTGGTATCGGAAAACACCCCCACAGGCTTAGGACTGATGTTGGCCCAAATTTAGTTAAAAATCAACATTTTAGGGGCACCTGGGTAGCTCAGTGGGTTAAAGTCTCTGCCTTCGGCTCGGGTTGTGATCCCAAAGTCCTGGGATCGAGCCCCGCACCAGGCTCTCTGTTCAGCGGGGAGCCTACTTTTCCCTTCTCTCTCTCTGCCTCCCTCTCTGCCTACTTGTGATCTCTGTCAGTGAAATAAATAAATAATTTTTAAAAAATCAACATTTTACAATGCACAGCACGGGGATCAATCCGTAACATTGTCCTAACTTGACCGGGCAACGGATAATGTATAAAAACATCAAATCACTATCTTGTCTATCGGAAGCTGATACAATATTGTATGTCAATTATAATTCAGTAAAAAAAAAAAAAAAAAGTAAGTTACGGGAAGACATTGATTTGCATAAAGCAGAAACCGGACACAGCCTGATAAGGAAACAATCTTATGCAAAAAAATTTCCTCCTACTGCCTGAGTTCACCCAAGTTCAAGTTAAGGGTGGCCACAGAGCATTAGTTCTAATCCTTACCGCCCTCTTATGCAAAAAAAACCCCCAAAAAACAAAAAACCCACTGGTCCGAGCTGCAGGACATACATACTCACTCATTTTATCCTCAACCACTCCCCTGGGTAGGAGGGCATTATTACCTCCAGTTTTCAGAGGAGAGAACTGGAGCACAGAGAAGGGAAGTCACTTGCCCTTAGTCACACAGCAGTGGGAGGTACAATTTGAACCCACAATGCCACATTTAAGGACGAAAAGGAAGGAGGGACAGAAAAGCCGCCTCGGTTTGAGAGCTAGATCAGCAGAGGCTGACATTCAAGATTTCTCATCCTGTCTTTCCCTGGCTTCCAAGATAAAAATGAGTTTTAATACAAATGTCCAAGGACGATAAACTTTTATTTCGTATTTTCGCTCCAGGGACTAGAGAAGTCAGCCTTCACTGCAGTCCCCTGGGCAGGACAGGGAATCAGTCAAGTGCCAAGAAACCTGTTTGCTCTGCTTTCTACCCCCACTGAACATGTGTCCTCAAGGAAGCTAAGCTCTCTGGGGTTTTGGGCCTCCCAGACAAGGAAGAGAAATATCGTTCCTTCTCGAGATAAGCCACAAACAGTGAGGAACAAGCCAGTTGTAGGAGAGGCCAGAGATCCTAAAAAAGAAATGCAGAGACACCGTTTCCTTCCAGGGAGAAAACAGAGCCAGGAATAAGGAGGTTGCCTTTATCTGTTTGGGGGGGAAAAAAAATTAAACTGTGCTTCCTCAAATTTCTCCCAGAACAAAAATCATGATCTCTTTCAATATAATACCCTTGGTGGGCGCCCAGGTGGCTCAGACGGTTAAGCCTCTGCCTTTGGCTCAGGTCATGATCTCAGGGTCCTGGGTTCGAGCCCTGCATCGGGCTCTCTGCTCAGCGGGGAGCCTGCTTCCCCCTCTGCCTGCTGCTCCAAGGGCTTGTGCTCTCTTTCTATTAAATGAACAAATAAAATCTTAAAAAGAATTTTTTTTTTTAAATGTAGTACCCTTGGTACAGACAGAAAGACTCACTTTCCCCGTGTAGACAACAGGAAAAATACTTGGAGTCTCAAAAGGGTAAGAAGTGTCAAACGGATGACTATAAAGTATTTTGACCCGCAAGCTGCTGGTATGCTTGCTCAAGACCAGTGGTTCCCCTCTGGGCACGATGTGCATGTGGGGAGGGGCCACCTGCACTGAGAGCAGAGGCCAGGGAGTGTGGCTTAACGCCCAGCAGTGCACACCCACCCCTCCCAGCATAGATAGAGGTGCTGTGGTGGAGAAATCCTGCAAGAGAGGAACAGAGGTGGAGTCTGGGGGCCTAGGGGGCCCTGGACTTACCCCAGCAGGCACAGGCTCCCACAGGAGAGCCAGGTGAGGGCGCCGGCATTATAGGACAGCTGAGTCACGATCATCTTGTTGCAGGAAGGACAGCACATCTGGACCGGACGGTCGAAAAAGGAGACGGGCTGCTGGACGTACACGGTCTGCACAGCAACTGGGGGAACAGGTCTGGACGATCAGTGAATGGGGAAAGCGTCCAGCTGACAACCAGGAGGTGGGGGCCTGGTCTCCGCGGGGGGCTCACCCACCCACCATTCACAAGAGCCAAAGCAGGGGAGCCACACAAGTGTCCACCGGTGAGCAGATGGATCAGCACGGGGGGGGGGGGGGGGGGGGGGGGGGGGGGGGGGGGGGCGGCGGGGGGGGGGGGGGGGCTGGCCAGACAGTGGAGTCTCGCTCGGCCTTAAAAGGACATTCTGACACATGCTAAAACACGGCCGAACTTTCGTGATGTGATGCTGAGCGACGTCAGCCAGCCACAGGACACACACAGCAGGGTGTCACGTATGTGAGGAACCCGGAGTCATCCAATTCACAGAAGAGCTGGTAGATGCTGGGGCTGCGGCAGGGGCAGGGGGCGCCGCCGGGAGCTGCTGTTCTGCCCGTACAGAGTTTCCATGTTACAAGACTTAAAAGTTCTAGAAAGGGATGGAGGTGACGGGTGCACAACGTGAACGTGCTTATTAATGCCACTCAACAGCACCCCGAGAGACACTTCCGGTGGTTTTATAGGACGCGTATTTTACCAAAACAGTGGCACATTTCCAGCATGATCATTTGAGAAATGATAATTTTTCAATAATTCCCCCCCCCAACATGAGATGGGGAGAAGTTCCTGGAGCGGGGCTTTGGCTCATCACGACCAGGCTCTCCAACCCAGTAACCACAGAATCGGTGGGGAGTTTATTGCTAATGCAGGTTCCTGGACCCCCTCCCCGCCACCCTGCCTCTGACGCTGGGACAGGCCGAGTCAGCAGGTCCCGGGCAGGGTCCCCAGAAGGCTCTTTCAGCTCCCTGTGTGGTTCCATGAAGGTGGTCTGCAGATGGTAATTCCAGAAATGGCGATATGACGGGGTTTTAGCCTAATTTTCTTCATCCAGAGATTAGTGGCTGCCAGCGGCCAGGGGAGGGGGGCGGGGGTTCTGTCTGGGGCAGTGGAAATAGTCTGGAGTGAGTGCTGACGCTTGGACAACTGTGATTATAGTGATCCCACCGAACCAGACACCCGGCAAGGGTGAACTAACACGAGGGGACGGGAATCTCCATAATGCTTTTATTTTTTAAAAATGGAAGGAACAGGGGTGGTGCAGGGATTCCACGAGATAAGGACAGTAAAGCAGCTCCTACTCTGGGACACAGCGAACCCTCGATGACACAGTCCCTCGTGGCACACGGGCCTCCTGACTCAGTCCCACGCCCAGCGATAATGCCAGTGACTGCCTACCAGCCCGGGGACGCTGGCCTGGCATGTGCCGAGGAGTTCAGGAATCAGTCAGACCCATGAAACGAGAATATAAAATCAGGCTAAAAGAAAACCGTGTGGAAAACATGGATAGGTGTTCAGTCACCGGAGGAGAGCCCACAGTGACAGAAATTGTGAAGTCCTTAGCATTCAGAACGGTTTTGGGTTTTGGCAAAGCTGTCTGAGCTCGTATTTTTGTCAAAGTGACTTCCTTCTGTTCTTTCCGCCGTGCTGGAATGCCGTTTCTACACTCTGTGCGTTAGGGGAAATTCGCTGCTGTCCAAGCCAACAGAACTTAATACTCCTAGAAAGACCCAGAAAGACTCTCCTTCCAGAAAAGCAGTATTTAAGCATTCTTGACCCTTTACATGTCAACTGTATTAAAGTCTTTTCTTTCTTTCTTTCTTTTTTTTGGTGCAATAAATTATTGATCAGAGCATAATCAGCCCGAAGTCACCTCGTTCTCTTCTATCTGAAGGGGTCAAAGTTGCTCAAGCACAATAGCTCACTTTTTATCAAAGCATTACTCACCGAGCTTTATTTCATCAGAACAACCCACGGATGGAGGCATTTGATGAGCCTCATTTTACAAGCGGGGAAACTGAGGTGCCAGGCGGGAGGTGAACCCAGGCAGTCTGACCCACAAGGCTGCCCTCTGAGCTGGTGAGTCCTTCCTCCTCAGCTGCTTGGGATACTGAATCAGCTATGCACCTGGGCGCACCTGGGCACACCTGGGCAGCAGGAAATCCCAGGGGGCAAGGCCACCAAAAAGTTGCCCGAAGGCTGGAAGCCATGCCTACACGGGCAGGCTGGCGGTTCCTAACTCCTGGCTGTTTCTGCACCCCCCCCACTCCAGCCAGGCCTCAGCAGGAGGGTTGGGGGCCCTTAAAAGCGGGGGCCCTTAAAAGCAAACTCCCATCCCCCGGTTTCTCTGGGATTGTTGGTGGGCCTCTGTGGATTTGCATCGAAGGATCGCTTTTTGGGCGACTTGGGACTGTGCTTTGCGAGGGAAAAGGCGCGAGCCCCCGAGACGTGGAACCCGGAAGACTAGGTGGGCACATTCCAGAACGAGGGGTCAAGCCGGACTGACCGGCACTCGGCTTCGACCCTTTGGCAGGTCGAGTCTGTGGCTCCCCTGACTGTCGCAGAGTCCCCAAGGCCAGGGTGGAGGGCCAAGGAGAGGTTAGGGGGGCGCGGGAAGTGGCACGTACTTGCACTGGCATTGGGGACGGGCACTGGCTGCGTGTAGTAGGCAGGCGGATTCACGCCCTTGCCATCCGGGCCCGTCACCAGCCCTGTGGTCGGCCCCGGCACCGGGCCAGGAGGCATCGGGAAGTAACTGTTAACAGCCACCGTCTCTTCATAGGATGGGGGTGCAGTTGGCACCGAGGAAGGCCCAGCGGCCGCCTGGTAGGATCCCGGAACAGACATTTTACCTAAAGCAAAACCAGAAGACACCAGATCAGAAATGCAAGGGGCACCCCGGCTTTTTCCACCTGAATCTTCCAATTTCTACCGGACAAAGAAAACGTGAAGACGTGGCTTGTGTCAGCCTTGTCCAAAAGCCAGGAAGGGGAGTTAATGTCTCTCCCAGAGCCAGGAACGATCACCTTAAGAAGGGATTCCCTAAATAAGGCTAGCAGGTAAATAGTTACAACCCCAAGTCATCAAAACCTAGGAAAATCCCAAGGGCACACACATGACACCGATTAGAGCAGCAGCTTCTCCTCACACTTCAGAACTAGCCAACGGCCTGTGTTGCACACGGAGTATTGTCTTCTTTCGAACCACTGCGGTTTTTACCAAAAGCATTTTAGATGCCAGAAAAGACAAAGGCATTCAAACTCAACCACAAACTATGGCAAACAGTGTGTCGTTGTGACAGAAGCCGGAGGGCAGAGACGCACAAGCTGGTGTGACACCCTGTACATCCAGAAGTGGGCAGAATGAGTCCCGGCCAGAAGGCCCAGAAGCAGGTGTTCCTGGACGGGTGGGGAGCGCACCCCGCTCCTGTCCTTGTTCCCCATCTGGGGGCAGTCACATGGCACGCCCACCACACGAAAACGAGCGGTACAATGAAGATGTGTGCGCTTTTTATTTGTATGTTACAGTTTTTTGTTTTAGTTTTTTTTTTAAGATTTTATTTATTTGACAGAGAGACAGCGAGGGAGGGAGCACAAGCAGGGGGGTGGGAGAGGGAGAAGCAGGCCTCCCGTGGAACAGGGAGCCCAACGTGGGGCTCCATCCCAGGACCCTGGGATCATGACCTGAGCCAAAGGCAGACGGTCAAAGACAGAGCCACCCAGGCGCCCCATGTTAGTTTTTAAAAAGTCAACACACACACATACACACACACACACACACACACACACACACAACCAGCTCCCATTCTGAGAGTATCAGAGGAGCCAGGCACATATTTCCTTTTGTGAGGGCAAAGAAAGAGTCTCCCCCCATTCCTGCTCCTGCCCCCCCATGTCTCCCCCACCCCAGGGACTGGGGACAGAGCTGATGTCCGCCTAGAATTACGTGGCCTGTACCCAGGGTGTGTTCCTGCTGTGGCCCGTGTGCAACGGCCCCGGGGCAGCTGGAGAAGGACACAGTGCAGCTCTTTGTGCGGCTCTGTTTTTCTAAAGGGGCAGAGCTAAGGCGGCCTTAGAAGATCCATTCAAACCTGCCTCAGGAGAAATGGGGAAATGAGCTCCCAGGGCAGCGTGCCACGGTCCAGGGGCTTGGACAGGCCTGCCGCCTCTTCCCCCCACATTCTGCCTCATCTTTGAGAACCCGTGGGAAGCGGAGGCAAAGTTAATTCTGCCGCGGGGAGAAGGGGAGACTCCTTCGAGGAAGCTCTCTGCTTTTAAGCAGAGACCAAAAGAGGAGATTTCTCCGGGGCAGGAGGGGGTGCTGGGGGGAGGGGGAGAAACTTGGGAAAGTGGACACGTGTCAAACACAGTCAGTAAATAAAGCTAAACAGGTTGGGGCCAGGTTGTAGGAAATGTGAAAGCCTTATGGAGGTGTTTGGGCTCTATTGTATAAGCCTGCCCAATGGAACCTTCTGGAAGAATGGAAATGTTCTCCATCTAGGCTGTCCAGCACCCACACACACACACACACACACACACCCCACCGCTGGGAACTCACAGTGTGATTGGTGTGACCCAGGAACTGAATGTTCACATTGTATTTCAAGTGTCAATGGTTTAAATGTAAAATCTAGGGACGCCTGCATGGCTCAGTTGGTTAAATGTCTGACTCTTGATTTTTGGCTTAGGTCATGATCTCAGGGTTGTGAGATCAAGTCCTAGGTCGGGCTCTGCAGGCGGCACGGAGTCTGCTTAAGATTCTCTCCCTCTCTCTGCCCCTCGCTCCCCACTTGCATGCTCTCACCTTCTCTCCTAAAAATAAAAAATAAATAAATAAAAATCTAATACACCATGCAGTTATTGGAAAACTTCCATTAAGTTTTCAAGGGGCACCTTGGCTATGTGAATCTATTTTTCCAACAGCGACCCTAATGGGCTCTGCATCTAGAGCAAAAGTTTCTGACAAAATATTAGCATCCGATTTCGGAGATGATGTCAACATAAAATATCCCTTGGATTTCAAAAAAAAAAAATTCACATGAAATACTTCATTCATAATTTTTTATATTGGAAATGGCAATATTTTAGATAGGTGGAGTTAAGCAAAATGCATTGTTACCACTCCGTTCATGCGTTTCTTTGTACCTTCTAAAATGTGGCTACTAAGAAATGTTTAAACTAACCACGTGGCTCACACGTTCCTGCTTCTACAGGACGGAGGCACTATGGAACACAGGGTTGTAGAGAAGAGGAAAGGTTGGACCCTAGAAAGCACAGATGAGGCAGGTCTATTGGAGAAGGAAGAAACAAACCTTGGAAGGCCCCCAGGTGGTGGTGGCAGCTACATCCTAGTCTGCAGGGACAGTTAATCAGGAAGGCTGAAGGGGAGCTAATGAGATCACAGGACATCTTTGTGCCAACAGGTCCAGGGTTTAAAAATGAGAACACAATTGTCGAAAGTGGTTATGACATGTTGTCTGTTTCCTCTGACACACAGGAACAGAAAATCAGGAGAAAGAAGGGAGCCAGACCGCAGACATCAACCCAGCACAGTTCACCAACTTTACCTCCTAAGCTGGCTTGGTGTCCCTCGCTGGCCACAGACCCTGGAACACCAACCCCACCCCACCCCCAACCCCAGCCCTCCACCACTGCTTCTGGCCCGGCCTGCGTGCGCACGGACTCTGGCTACCAGCCGCCTCCGTGCACTGGAGGAATTCAGGACCTCGCCGAAGGTCAAGGACTCACTGTCCCTTCCTGTCTCAGGAAAGGCAGACCCCCAGCTGCCTACACAATTTATTATGAAAACTGACTCACAGCAGAAAACCGCAACGACCGAAAACACTGGGCTGGACAGACAGAAGGCCTAAAATAGCACGGGGCGCTGCGGTGGCAAGCGGCGCACTTTCGAAGGGGAACGGGAGGTCTTAGGCGCCCTGAGTTTTGCAGAAAACACAGTCTGGGTCAAACAGCTGGGAAACAATGACTCAACTCAGAAGTCGAATCCCTCCCCTTCAGAACCACTGCTCCCTCTTCCAGAAGGGACCCAAGGCAGCTGTGTCGTCAAGGGTGGACATGGGGGTGCAGGGGGGGGGCTCCTTTCCTCTGGAGGAAGGAAGGGCCTGAGCTTCTGGAAATCAAGGCCGGCCTGCCAGCTTATCACACCCGCATCACTGGTGTCACGGCCGCAGCCTATAGCTTCTGAACTCCAGGCCCCTGCCTCTTGGGAACATCCATCCTGTGTCCAACAGCCCGTAAATGTAAACAACACTGAGGATTCTGAAAAGGGACAAAAGCAACGGGCTAGGGCAGTAAACACAAAACCAAACCCATCAACAGCTGGATGGAAGGGTTTTCTAAATACATTCGGCAGCCTCCCTTCCCCAGACCCCAGGCCAGGAAATGCCACTTTGCTCCATCCTACTTCTCTTTCTTCTCTTCCCCCCCACCATCCCCCCTCCCCCCACTCCGCTGCACACGGCTTCCCCAGGGGGCAGGAGGCCCACCTTGCCTCCACCTCCTGGTCCTCAAGCCCCAACACTCTTTAAGGGGAGCAAACAGTCACCCACACCCTCCGCTGTCACCAGGAACCCTTTGTCCCTCCAGATCAGGCCACCCATGAGTGAACAGCGGCGGTGCGAGCACAATTCCATCCAATACCTGAGCTCCCTTTTCCGGGACAAATAGGGAAGCATCTTGGAGTTCAGAGCAAAGCCACAGTCTTGCCACCGAAAAGCACAGCCTCGAGAACCGCCTTGAGAACCCCCTCTGGCGGGGTTGGTGAACACCAGGTTGTCATGGCTACAGGGAGGGGGGATATAGGGGCCAGCAAGGGGGTCTCCTTCCTCCCTCCCCACTTGTTATCAGGCCCCTACGAGTGGGTTTTCTCGACTGCTCGCCCGTTTAAAAGCACACGGTGAAGGCGATTCTCCATCCAGCTTCCCCCCTCCTCCAGCCCCACAGATATGAAGGAAATGCTTAGGGATGGGGAGCCCCACGGTCCCCACCTCAGAATGGCCCTGCTGCAAGCGACTCCCAAAGCCACAGTGAGAGAGACAGGCAGGCATCCCAAATCTCTTGTTCCAATCAGAAAACGTGACCAGGGCTGCCTCGCAGGCCCTACACCCCGGAGACCGCGCTCAGCCCAACACTCTGCGGCTACCATCCTGACATTCTGAAGACTCAGGGAACCGGGGGGCCTTCCGTGTCCACGCTGCACCAGGGCTCCAGGTCGCAGGAAAGGAGGCCTGTCTGATGCGAGAAGGGCTGGAGGCAGAAACTAGCCCACGACCAGATGCATGGGCCTGGCCCCTACCTTCTCACCTGTCAATGTGCCACTAGGAATTCTGGGGTCCCTTTGCACCATGTCTCCACGATTTCCTCGGTGACAGAGTCTCTCTTTGATGGGCAGTGAGGGGTTCTAGGGGCATCTATTCCTGGGCCCAGTTCAGACATGGTACAGAACAGGGTTTCTCAGCCTTGTTTTCATTATAGCTGCCTCTGCCCCCTCCCAAGGAGAAAAATTAAATTATATTAAATTTAATTAATTAATTAAAATATAATTTAATTTCTGCCTCACAAGAGAAAATGCAGTACTAAGAAATAAGATTTCATTGGATACGGTTGAGTTTTGAAGGGCCACACACAACTGTAATATCTAAGACTTTTTTTAAACTCTCCCCTCCCCCCCAAAGTGACTTTCACTCCCCTGGGTCCCCGCTGAGAATGCGGGAGGGAGATGGGGAATGAGGTATTTGGGGTACCGATGAGTTTTTCAAATCACCGACATTTGTTCCTTCAGTTTTCCCAAAATGTGTCTCCCCTTTCCTTGCCATCGTAAATGCAATGGTCTG